CTACCACCTACTACAATTACTACTACGACTACCACTACTACCACTACTACTACTACAATTACTACTGCTCCGTACAATTACTACTACCACCTACTCCTACTACTACTACTACTACTACTACTACTACTACTACTACTACTACTACTACTACTACTACTACTACTACTACTACTACTACTATTACTACTACCTCTATCATGGGGGGTTTTTTTTTCCACTTCTTTTGTTGTCTCTGTCTTCTACGAGTATTTCAAAATGATCATTATCAGTTTAATTTAATATTATTACCATTACTATGATATATATTCTTTTTTTGGACCAAGTCTCCAAGAATTGGTTCAACCCAACATCATCAATCATGGATTACGAGTCCCCCCCTCCTCTTCCCGTCCATGGTATTAGTCGGCAGTTGGAACTCAAGAAACTGTGTGTAAAGGGGGTGGAGGAAGGGGGGGGGGGAGTTACCTCTCGTAAGCGTAAAGGAAAGGGTGTACTCGTATGGTACATCCGGGGGAGGGAGAGAAGGAAAACGGAGCTACGGAAAAGAGAGAGCGAGAGAGAGAGAGAGAGAGAGAGAGAGAGCAGAAACTTGGCTTGCAGGCAAGACCAGGGTCAGCAGGAGCAAGGGACAAGGTTGACAGCTGGAATATTCCGAACCATGCGCCGGGTGGCCGGGGGGGTGAGAAAGATGACCGGGGGGGGAAGGGGGAGGAGGAGACAGAGACAAATGATCAGACCAAAGCCTGGTCTTGACTCTCATTCTCTCTTCTCCGAACCACACTCCCCCCGTCCCAACAAACTTGGTGTGTGCACACCCCCCCCCCCTCCCCTCCCATTCTCGTGCCACTCCACGGTCTGTGTTGTGTTTTACTTGTACAGATATTCGCGCTGCCTCTTGGTCAAAACGAGCGCATACAGCAGTTGCATGCAATGCACGGTACTAGACCCACTCCCCCTCCTTTTTTTTTTTCCCTTTCTTTGTTTTTTCTGCTCTTTCCAGAAGCTGTATTGAAGTGAATCTTCCGACTGGTCTAAACACAATGCGACGGCAAAACTATGGGAAAGAAATACAGAATAGATACGGCGTATTTCGTTGCCAACGGCGAAAAAAAAAATTTGAAAGGAAAGAGAAAAACAAGAACACGGAAAAAAAAAGAACAAATGTTCAAGTCGGTAACGGCGGGACCACAACGGCCTTATGGGGTAGGTGGGGAAAGGGTGGGAGGTTCAAAGAGCTGTCTGAGGTACTCGTACTCCGTGCATTGTATCCATGTGCGCGCGTGTGTGTTCGATAGCAGATGCCAGGTCTCGAATGATGAGATGCTATCGCTTGCACATGCATGGTAGAGTATTCCAGATAATCGATGCCGCTAGATAGCTAGCAAGATGGGTGACGTCTGGTGTGGTACGTTATACGGCAGTGCCTGGTAAGGGCCGGATGGGTGATTGATTCCTGTTCAGTTCACTCTGACTATAACGCGCAACATATACGAGGATCGATGACACGGCAGGCTTCAACGGTCGGTGGCACGGCATGTAGCGAGCACGAAGTCTTTCCTATACAGTCGTCTGAAGTACGCACACTGCGTGCGTGCTGCGCGCGTTTGCCATGTCGGACCGGATGAGTCCACCTGAGAACGGGAAGAGAGGGAGAGAGAGAAAAAAAAAAGTCATCCCATTGTTGCCCTTCTAATGCGGCCTCGCGGTCGGTGGCGTAGTCCGTCTTTTAGTCCCGAGCGGTGGCGGTGGTGAGGGTGGTGGTGTATGCGTACATGTCAAGAAAGTCGACGGAGAATCTGCGTATTAATAGCATATAACGCGCACGACTAAGGTGGTAGTTGGTAGCAGTATTGGCATTACTTGGGGTCTACTATACGACTCGAGGAGTATAATAGACTGAGAGGTGATATAGTTCCATATATATTACCGTATATAGATGGGTAGTTCTTACGCTAAATCACTTCTTCCCCCTCTTCTTTTCCTTTTCTGCCCTTCGTCCCACCGTTTGAGCGGAGCTCTTATATGTGGCTCTCTCTCCCTCTCTTTTTATTTTATTTTTTTAATTTTTTTCTTTCTTCTCTTACGACAGCATATACAATGACGATAAGGATGGGAGGGGCGCCTGTTCGGCATGAGGTCAGAAAATGGAAGGCAGCCGTGTAGTTGCTGAGGCTTGGTTTCCATGCTCCGACAGATCTCGGAGGAATGGTACGAAAATAGGTAACCAGCTCCATGGTTCGAGATTGCTACTAGTGGTGGACATACCTGTACTGCTAGCAGCAATAATACGTATTGGTAGTCAACTTGCGTATGGCCTCTGCTCTTGCCTCCTACATATACCAGATACTGGTGATACGTACAACCAATGGTAGATAATACTTCCACTACTAGAACCGTTACTAAATCCCAAACAACCAACCCGACCCCCCCCCCCCCGCGGCGCCACTGCGCACTGTCCATTGCGTGTCGCTGCGTTTCTGCGTTTTGACGAAGTTTTGGTGCTCGATTCGGGAGTTGATGGTGCAGGTAGTAGAGGTAATGCTAGAGACGTATTCGGTATTAGCTGTGTTGGACGTCATCTGCCGTGCGTCGCAGGACTGAAAATTCAGTGCTGTTTGCCTGCCTGGCATGTCTGGCTACATGTACGATCAGAGGTATCACCACTGGTAATGGTCGACACCGTAACAGTTCGTACCTGGCAATGCTTGCATGTGCGTCGAGTCGTAGGGAGAGGCCCGAATACCTCTCTACCCGTGCATGCGTCGTACATCGTGCCCCGTACACGCTGGAGGGTCACGACCCCATTCGGACACGGTGCTCGTATCGCGTCTATGCACACTGTGCACTCACCACTGCCCGAAGCCACGACGCATAACCTTGACCGACGTGCAGCGGCATGCAGCGGCTGCATACTTTTGTGGTGGTGGTGGTGATGATGATGGTGGCGTAGCAGCCCGTACACGCAGCAAGGTACTATTACTACTAATTACTAATACCAACTACTACTACTACTACTACTACTACTACTACTACTACTACTACTTACCTGTAGCAGC